AAGTTGCGAAAGCGAGATCAAACTACTTCTATACAACGAAAGGGGACTGCGACCACACAAAAGACCACACCATCTTGGTCTTCATACTTTCGGTAATATTTGAATGTTTACCCTGGCGTATGCGGTTTATTGAGAATGCTGTGTTTAAATATACGCTACATTTGCTATTGGTATTTTTCCTCTTAAATCTCGACAAAACTTCATTAATATATTTTACAAGCTGTCCTTAGCAAACGGCAGAGTGTAGGTTATCGCATGATAAACATCTTCGTTGCATCTTTTAACGAAGTTTTTTTTAAACAAGAACACACAATTATAAGGCATATCATTCTATATGAATAAGGTATGTATATAAATGGATATCATATGCGCCAGCAGCAATAAAGAACGAGAGAGACATCGCATATGAATGACAGCATGTCAGAGTAGAAAATAATAAATTGAGGTTAAATTAGAAGTTCCAACATATTTGCTAAGCGTAAGAGGAAGCATAGGGAGAGGTAAAGATAAAAGAGACACAATCAAGCGTTTTTCTTTTATTGTAAACATTTTAACTATTCGCATTGTTTACGTCAGTTTGCTTTATTCAACCATTCCGCCAGGTGAACTTCACGGGGCTTTCTGAGTTCACTGATGCCCTGGGCCGGCGCCACCAGATTTTACAGACTGAGCGGGAACAGTCTCTCAGTTCTGCGGTTATCCAGCCCGGCAACTGGCTAGAGCACACGCTCATCGGTCTCCGACCGAATACACTCTACGTTGTTGGCGTCCGACCGGTAGCCTACGCGTCTGGCTCAGGAGCCAGTCTGGTTGGTGTGCCGATCGAGACGTCTTGCAGTACTCCTGAAATAGGTCAGTTAGACACTTGAAGAATTGCTATCGAGTACATTCTCAACAAGAAGCTGATAATCGCCGGAGCACAGCAGCTCTCAGACCTGACATACACTTCTAATTCTATACGTCTACTTTCGATCTCCAAGCTAAAATCTGCTTCTAAAGCACCTGCGATTTGTCTAGGCAGGCTTTCAGCCGAAAAAGTTATAGCTGATAAATTGATGCATAAGCCGACATTTTAGGAAGTGACCAAGATTGATAGAATACTTCTTATTTTATGGAATAAACCCATTTTGTCATATGAGATGTATTCACCCTATTTAG